AGTGCTTATAAATGTGATGAGAAGACCAGGCCATGGATGGGGGGCTAGGAGGAGTGGGAGATGTGCAATTAGATTAGAAAACTGGGGAGGGCATTGGAAGTGTGATGAAATCTTTGAGAATCTTACATGACTTCCAGTTTGATTTAGGATTTGGAGTTTTTTTTGTTTTGTAACCTAAAACAGATCCCACATCGTGACTTCACACTCCTCTGTAGGATCTGTGTTGCTTCTGATCATGCCTGAGAGGTGTTTTCTTGGTAAAGTCTGTATTTCCAACATGGTATTTATTTATGCATTCATTCATTCATTCAGTCAGTCAGTCAACCAACATTCCATGATGGACATATTTCAGAGGAGCTTCCAGAGAAAGAAAGACTAGGAAGAAAGGTCTGGCTATCTGCTTCTGAGAATTAGCCAATGCAAACACAACGGCTCACAACTGAATATTGTCCAATATAGTGCTGGAAGATGAGCCCTTTGGCTTAGAAGACATTCCAAACACATGGTGGCTGCAACAATGGACTACAGCACACCAACGATTGTGCAGGTGACACAGGCCCAGGCAACGTTTCGTTCTGTTGTTCACAGGGTCAGGAGCTGAAGTCGTCTCAACAGCCACTAACAACAATGTATGCAATAACATAGGGTAGAGGCAGTCTGAGACTTCAGATGAGGCCATTCCCGCAGGTCTGTCCTGTTCTGTCCTCTGCAGGAAGGTGCCTCATGGACATACAACTTGAGTAAGTGTACATCTGAACAAGGCATTTTACGTTTTCTAAAACTCCAGCTATTTCCTGGAGACAGATTGTGTCTCACTGATTGTCTATTAAGTTTTTTTTTTTTTTTTCAACTGCTGAAGATCTTGGAACCAAACCAAAGTAATCTGCATTTCCATTTTTATCTCTTAATTTATAAACTGCGCCTCATAATTTACAAGCACCCACTTACTTAGTGCCTCTAACAGAGCCGAAACAAATACCAGCTCTGCCAGCTATGCTAGCCAGTTTCCTCTCTGTATCTTCCTATCGGGAACTTTCTTCAGGTTGGAGGGGGTGGGCTGGACCTAGGCCTACTAGGGGGAGGTTAGGGTAGTAATAATGATGATATGTCACATTTATTTAAGGAGCACTGGTGCTGCAGTGCCTAAGGCATTTGACTGCTAACCAGAAGGTTGGCTGTTCAAACCCACCAGCTGCTCTGCAGAAGGAAGATGGGGCAATCTACTTCCGTAAAGATTTATGCCTTGGACACCTGGTGGGGGTCACTATAACTTGCAATCAACTCAATGGCAGTGGGTTTGGTTTATTTATTTATTTATTTATTTTTGGTCACATGTATTTAGGGAAGTGAGAGGAAGGGCTCATTACCCCCATTTTATGGGTAAGAAAGCAGAGGCTGGAGATGGGAAGTAATACGGCCAAAGTTTACTTATGAGTGGTGGAGCCAGGCCTCCAACCTGGAGCTCTGGAATTGAGTGTAATGCGTGGGGTCAACATTAGTCGGAACCGACACCATGAGTTGGCCTTTCCTTCCAGGACACGACTAGGGTTTCTCAACTTTGGCACTAGTGACATTTTGGGCTGGATAATTCTTTGTTGTGCACTGTAGGATATTTATTTACCAGCATCCCTGCCCTCTACCCACTAAATTCTACTAGCACCACCCCAGTGTGACAACCCAGAATGTCTCCCGACATTGCCAAGTATCTCCAGAGGGGCAAACTGAGGATCACTCCCCATCGAGGACCACTCTACTAGACTGGACCCTCTTTCTTGATTAAAATGGAAGCACACACGTCAGCTAATCTCCTTCCACAGGCCTGTCCCTTTCCTACACCCCCAGGGTTTACTGAGAATTGTCCTGCCCAGTGTCATGTGGAACTCTGAACTTCTGAGTGGCATTAAGCGTTTTTCCATCCTTGACCACATTGAGCCCCATAAGATGGATGCAACTATCTCCCACGTTATAGGTGAGGAAATCGAAGCTCGGGGAGGTCAGAACTTGCCCAAGATTATACGCTAGTAAGTGGCAGAAGGTTCCGAGGTGGTGCAAGCAGTTTGCAATTGGCTACTAACTAAAGGTTGGTGACTCAAACCCACCCCGCAGCACCTGGTAGTCTGTCTCTGTAAAGATCACAGCCAGGAAAACCCCATAGAGCAAATACACGGTATAACACATGGGGTCAGCATTAGTTGGAACTGACTCAATGACAATGACTTTGGTTTGGTTTGGGTGGCAGGGTGGGGTCCCTAAATGGTGCAAACGGTTAATTGCTCAGCTGTTAACCAAAACGTTGGAGGTTTGAATTCACCTGGAAGTGCCTTGGAAGAAAAGTCTGGTGATCTACTTCAGAAAACTCAGCCACCTGAAAATCCTGCAGAACACAGCTCTCCTCTGATACACATGGGGTCACCATGAGTGAGAGTCTACTGGACAGTAACTGGTTTCAGTGGTAGGCCTGGGCTGCAAACCCAAACCAGTCTAGTTCCCAGGACAGAGAGTTTACCTACCCCACTCCTCCCCCTCGCTCAACTCCAGTGCAACTGAGACCCAGAAGTTCTTTTCCTGGGTCAGCAGGAATGTAGCTGCCTTCAAAAGACGTAGCCCTCTCTTGTCCATAAAGCAGTAGCCCTTCTCTTTGTAGTCAGACATCTCTCAGGCACATACCACCTCCATTCATGATTGTGGGTCCGTGTGTCTGTTTTCCTCCCCTGACTGTGGTCTATAGTCTGAGAGCAGCATCATGGCCCACCCATATGGCAACACAGCTGTGAGGGTTATGATCCACCTGGCTGTGTCCTATGTGACCTTGGGGAAGAGACCAACATTTCTAAGCTCAGTCTCCCCATCTGTAGAATGGGGAAACCCACTTCTCAGGGTACAGAGGAGAATGAAATGGTGATCCATGCAGACAGTTTAGTACTGATGCTGGATGCTGGATAAATGGTGGTCTGTAGTGAATATCCACCTCAGGCTTCAGTGCCCCATGAAGTTACCCACAATAAGCTGGCCTTCAACTCCTGAATACCTTCTGGTCAGTCTATGACTACCACGTAGCCTTGTGGATGTTACTTTAGGACTATCTACCCAGCTAGACTTCAATCTCCCCAAGGGTAGGCCCTGTCCCTTTGTCCCCTCCCATAGTACAAAAAACCAAACTCACTGCCACCAAGTTGAATCTGACTTATAGTGACCCCCATTGGGTTTCTCAAGCTGTAAATCTTTATGGAAGTAGATTGCCCCATCTTCCTTCCACAGAGTAGCTGGTGGGTTTGAACCTATGACCGTCTAGTTTGCAGCCAAATGCCTTATCCACTGTGGTACCAGAGCTCCTCCCATTGTGGCCAGCCCCGTATTTCCCTCATGTGCATGGAGAATGCTCACAGTGATTACTGAAGAAGCAATCATATTGATGATTTCTACTGTACTTTTTGCATTGGGTGCTGTCTTTTCTGGGTGTATCTTAATATCCTTGGTGTGTAGCTTGATGGTGCTGCCCTTGATTCCCCGACTCTGAATAACTGTGATTATTAGCTACCATTGTGGTTCTACTTTGGTCTTTTTCATTCATGCCCCCAACTTCACACTTGTGGTAAGAGTCAGGCTCATTGTATTGAATCTATGGTGTAGAAGAGGGGCCCGGTAGGACCCTCTTACCCGTCAGTCCTGGCTCGCATCCCCATCCCTGCTCAGACATTTGTTAGGCCACCAGCAGTAAGTCACCCATGCTCAGTTTCCCTATCTATAAATCAGGGGTATTAATGGGACCTGCCACAAACCGGTAGAGGATTAAATATATCCTGCCTTGAATATATCATGTATCACACCCTCTGGCTTTATTAACAATTAGTTTTTTTTAAAAAATTTCAAACCCATTGCGGTGAAGTCCAATTCAGCCACACGTGTTACAGAGTAGAACTGCTCCATAGGGTTTTCTTGGTGTTCATCTTTATGGAAACAGATTGCCAGGCCTTTCTTCCACAGCTCCACTGGGTGCTTTTGAACAAACAACCTTTTCATCAGTAGGATAACACAAACCGTTTGTGCCACACCCCGTTTCTTTGGGGTGGGGTAGGCAGGGCAGTGAGCTTGCTGAGCAAGGAAAACTTGCACCAGCTCTTAGCCCTTTCCTTAGCCAGCAGTAGGCAGGCCCAGAACAACAGGCTGGCCCAGAGCAGCGGGGGCTCCTACTACCGCAGCAGTTTTTTTCTTTTCTCTCCACATTCCTAGAGTGGAGAGAGTGCATGGCTTTAGTCCCGCGTGGTGCTGAGGAAACCCGAGTCAGACCCCGCTGCCCTGGGGCAAAAGACAAGCAAAGCTATCCCTGCTGGGCCCAACGGCGGGTTCATTTCATTTCTTCTCCTAAAATGAATGACTGCTCAAAATTCCGTGCTCCCCACAACACCCAGAACAGAACCTTCCCTCAAAGATGAAAGCCAGTTTTCCTGGCTCCGAGTTTGTTTTTGCCCCACCTTCTGACCCCTCTGAAAGGCGTCCAGGGCCTCCTCACAGTTATCTCGAGCCGGTGCAAGGCTGGGGGCGGCTGATCCTTACCTCTCAACCAGGTCCCCAGGGCGTGTGCTCTAGGGAGTCTCCTCCCCCGAGGGGGCGCTCTCTGCCCACCCCCCACCAAGGTCACCCAACTTTTCCTTCTCTGCCCAGCTCCGAGGAAGGTCTGGAGGTCTGGGAGGGGTGGCGGGCTGGGGCAAGGGGCGTGTCGAGAGGCAGCGGGCGGGCGACTGGGGGCGGCGCGCGGCCTCTCCTGGCGGGGCGGGCGCCCGCCATGCATTATTCATTGGCCAAAGCCGGGCTGGAGGCGCGGGTGCTGATGTCAGGCAGGCGCGAGTGCGGCGGGCGCAGCGGCGGCGGCCGCCCAGCAGCCCCGGCTCGGGTGGGGGGGCGCCGAGTGGGGGTGGCGGCCAGCATGCTGCTCGGCTGCGGCTCGGCCTCCCACACCCGCGGCGCCCTCGTCCTCGCCAGCAGCGGCGGCAGCGGCGGAGCAGGGAGCGGCGCCCGTGTCTGCAGCAGCGCAGGGTCCGGGCGCGCGGCGTGGCGGGAGGGACCGGGGCGGGGACCCGGGACCCGGCATGGCGCTGCGGAGGGGCGGCGGCGGGGCGCTGGGGCTCCTGCTTCTGCTGCTGAGCGCCGCGTGCCTGATCCCGCGGAGCGCGCAGGTGAGGCGGCTGGCGCGCTGCCCCGCCACTTGCAGCTGTACCAAGGAGTCCATCATCTGCGTGGGCTCATCCTGGGTGCCCAGGATCGTGCCGGGCGACATCAGCTCCCTGTGAGTGGGACCCCTTCTACCCCCACCCCGCCCCGCCCAGCGCCCGCCGTCTCTGGGGAGTTACCTCTGGCGCTGGAGCAGCGCGACCCTGACCCCACACCCCAGTCCTCTCCTTTACGCTTGGGTGGGCGCGCGCCACGGGACGTGGGTGGAGTCTAGGCCCCCGAGGAAGATGGAAGGGACCCGCGATCCAGAGTCTGGGGACCCAGGCAAGTCCCAGTGACAGTGTTTCTCAAAGTGTGGCCCGCGGGCCAGCTTGCTACATCAGCCCAGTCTGGGGAAGCTTGAAGCATCAGTGCAGATTCGGGGGCCCACGCTGTTAAGGGGTCTTTAGAGTAAAGCCTGAGAGTCTTCATTTGTGTCCCCAGGTGATTCTGCAGCACGTTAAAGTTTGAGAGGCACCAAATAGAGGATGAGTGTGTGGGTTGAGGGGAAAGAGAGTTGTTTCTGGAAGGGTAGGAGCAGCTAAACTTGTCTGGAAAGATTGTAAAGGCAAGGGGCCAGGCCCCACCTCCCCCCTGGGGTCTGGGGCAGTGGTTCATGCCCTTCTCTGGCCTTTTGAGGCTGTGGAGCCACCTCCCCCTGTGGCCTGCAAGAGAGGGGGAGAACAGAAGGCTCGGCAGAGGGTGGGGAGCATGTGGGTGCCTGGCCCAGTTGGCCAAGTGCTGGAGGGCAACCTGACTTCTTACCCCCTTTCCCCAGGATACAGTTTTTCAGGGTTGGAGGAGCTGACACCAAAGGGTTTCACATTAGTTATGCACTTGCTAAGAGATGCGTTCAACCTGCCTTCACACAGCCACTCAAGCCAAAGGAGCAGCCCTGGGGCTAGTGGGCTGTGTTTTACTGATGCCTGCTAAAATGACTCCCTTGTCCCAGGCCAAGGTGCTCTCCCCAGTCAATTAAAGAGGCTGGGAATCCCAGGGATGGCAGTGATGTTGCTCCTGGTCTGGGCACTTCCTCCTGTGCTACACTGTCCTGCTTTCCACCGAGGACAGGTGGAGGGACCCGGACTCTGGAGTGAAGTGCTTTGGGTTTGCATTTGTGGAAAGTCCAGAGAGTTGCCGGTGGGAACAGAGGGCCTCTTTCATTCCTGATGTTAGTGCCTTAGATGATGTGGAGGATTCTAGACCGTTCCAATTCCCCTTGTTAGCTCCTTTAGACACACAGCTGCTTAATTAATCTGCATGTTAACTCAATTATTTTGAAATTCTGTACTGAGGTCCTGCTTTGGCAGGAAGGGTCCCCTGGCGGCAAAAATAGAGCCGAGGCCTCTTGCCCTGGAGTTGACCATTCCATCTGGCAGATGCATCGCCTCCCGCTGCACATTCAAGTTCAGGTGTCTCGGAGTGTTTCCCCAAGGCGTTCACGCTGCATCTAATCACAAGTGCGCTGAGTGTCTTTCAGAGCTGTGCTCCCACAGGGAATGCTTAATCTTACCCTGGAGTTTCGTTGGCCAACATTAGAGCTGTATCTACACAAACAGAATCTTGGGCAAGGGTGAAGTAATTACCCTTTTGCAGCCAGGGCCTCCTGTGGTTAAGAAAAGGAAGCGAGGGGGTTGATTCCAGTCAACTAAGATCACATCCGTGGAAGGAGTGAGGCTGATGTTAAAGGTTTCTGTGATTCAGGCTAGTTTTCATATTGATTCAGTTCATTGGAAATGACTTCTCCATTTGCTTACCCTTTAGAAGACACTGGCCAGCTGTTCTAAGATCTTGTCAGAGCCCCATGATTGAAAGTAAGGATGTGAGGTGGAAGGTCGATTGCCTCCCCACACTCTTTCCATTCCGAAAATAAAGCCAGTTGCATTGAGTTGATCCCAACTCATGGCGACCTCATGTATGTCAGATATACCTGTACCCCACGGGGTCTTCCACGACTGATTTCTGGGAGTAGATCCCCACACTTTTCTCCCGAGGTGCCTCTGGGAGGACTTGAACTGGCATCCTTTCTGTTAGTAGCCGGGCACTTAACCACTCGCAACACGAGGTGGCCTGTCCACCACCCAGCACTTCCTAAAAGAAACAAAGGCCCCGTTCTGTTCCTCTTTTGCCCCCAGGAGCTTGGTGAATGGAACGTTTTCGGAAATCAAGGACCGGATGTTTTCCCATTTGCCTTCCTTGCAGCTGCTGTGAGTATGGAAAGTCCTTTCTGTAAAATGGGACTTCTGAGGTGTGATCCTTGGGAGAGCAGCCTCTGAATCTTTGGTGCCACTCCTTCCTAGAGTCCCCAGCTCTATGAGTAAATGGTTGTTGGCTCTTAAAGTTGCCTTGCTCTGTGGTGTCCCCAAAAGCTAACTGCCAAGGAACCTTGCTCATTGTCCCCTTCTTTAGTTTGGAATGATGTTTCCTCACGGACTTTATTGTAGATGCCAATGCCTGTGTCTGACAACTGGGGTGATAGCTCCCTTGAATTATGACTGGCATGCCACCTAAATGGACTCTTCCCTGAACATCTCACTTGGAAAGAAAACCTGCATTTTTTTTAATGCATCAATAGTATTTCACATAGATTGGCAGGTTGGTGGGTGGGTTGGCTGCTCTGTGGGGAAGGGGTCAGCTTAGTGCCTCTGCTTCTCACTGCTGCTCTGGGCGGTGGCTGGTGCGGTTCTGTTCTACATGTCTCTGTTCCGAGGCTCCAGCAGAAGAGGCACCTCTGGGCCTGAGGAAACTTTTCTTGTGACAGTAGCAGAACCACAAGAGAGGGACAACACTGCAAGGCCTTAGAGGGCCTGGAAAATTTGCATTGTTAAGTCTAGATGGTACTCTGGGTATAGGAGGATTCCGAGTCCACTTAGTACTTGGACTTTTGGGCTTAATGTAATCATCCCGTTACTCCTAACAGAATAAACCAAACCCACTGCCATGGAATCGATTCAGACTCATAGTAACCCTACAGGACAGAGTAGAACTGCCCCATGTTGTTTCCAAGGCTGTAAATCTTTATGGAAGTAGACTGCCTCATCTTTCCCTCACAGAGTGACTGGTGGGTTTGAACTACATACCTTCTGGGTAGCAGCCCAATGCTTTAACCACAGTACCACCGGAGCTCCTTGAACAGCACAGGAGGGTATTTTTCATTTTCCTCATCAAATAAGGAAACTGTGTCTCAGGGAAGTTAAGTAACTTGATAAATAACAGTGAGGATTCTAATGCAGGGCCCCAAACACCCATTCAGACCCATCCTTTGCCACACCATCTCTCAGCAAGCAGTGCCAATGCCACTGTGGTGAGTGCCCACGTCTACAAGCCAGGTCTGTTAGGTTTGCTGATGAAAAGAAATGTCCAGAAAGCAGTCTTCAAGAGAAAATCAGTAATAGGCAAAGTCCTGAGTAGGAGCTTATTCTCTTTATCTACACTGATTCTTAAGCAGGATTGAAATTAAACTAAGTATAACCCTAACCCTAATCTACAGAAAACATGAAGAAACGGAGGATAGATTATCCATCCCAAATAAACTTCCTGTTGCTAATTTAGTCCTTGAAATGTTATATGCCTACCTTTTTGTTTGTTTGTTTAACATTTTAAAACTTGACATTTCACAGAAATTGTACTTTGGTTAAAACAGACTTCCTATGCAATAGAAATGCAATTTCAGGTATTCTTTGGGTGAACAGATTTTAAGTGGTAACTACATACACTCATGTAGAAAAATATATGGTGATAAAGAGTATTCTGAAGGTTTCTTAAACATTTATTATTATTTCTTATAGGAACGTATAATATAGTAGCACATTCATTGTTGTTTTGGCTGTGTGATTTTGGTCAAGTTACTTGACCTCTCTGGGCTCAAAGTTCTCTAAAAATAGAGGTGGGTTAGATCCTCTTAGTTCCCTAATTTTATGATTCCTTGTGCACCATAAAGCATTTAGTTGTGCCAAGCATTAAAATGTTTTCAAATAACAGTTATTAATGAGACCATATTTACAAGACCCACAGGGTAGAAAGGGTGGAGTCATGAGAGTGACCTAAAAATCTAGTCTGAAGGAATCGATTTGCCTTGTCCATCAGCTATCTGAGAGTAATGCTGTGTGCCTCTTGGACCATCCTTAGGTCAAAGAAAAGCCCATGTTTGCCCACACATCAGGAAATAGTAAAAGAAACATAAGTGACTCAAGTTTTACGTCTCTGCACTGAAATCTGCCCTTCTTTTTCAGATTGCTGAATTCTAACTCATTCACAGTCATCCGCGATGATGCCTTTGCTGGACTTTTCCATCTCGAATACCTGTAAGTTTTGTGCTCCTTCGATTTGCTGAGCGTTCGGCATCTCAGTAGAGTCACTGGATCGCTTTCCATTCTGGAGCTGCCTCTCTGAGAGTTCAGGGGTGGAGACGTGGAGAGAACAGGGTTCTCAGCACTGACCTCTCCAAGTTGCCTTGCTTATAAACATGCTGGGGCAGGAGGAGGTTAGAGACAAAGATGGGGAAAGGAAACAAAGAAGGAAAGATACCCATTCATTCTCTGCTGACATTTCATTTGCCTTGTAGTAAGCACAACTGGAAATTGAGTTGGATATTTTTACCTTTCATAACTAAGCCCAGATTTGCTGATCAGCCAAAAATAGAGCCAAATGTTTCTGAGGGTTGTTTATTTTTATATAAAAGCTCTCTATTTGGGGGCACACCTTCGTGTTTTTTATTCAGCTGTCCTATATCCTGTTTGTGTATCTCCTGCGAGCCAATGATGAGGGTATGATTTTATTGTCTTTTCTCCTTTAAAACATATATATACATTTGTATGTATGTATATATTTTTCCCTTTTCTGATGTACAGGTTTCCTCCAGCAGAGAGAAAATTCTCTATCCTATTTCTGATTCCTCCTTTTTGTCCTTTCATGTCTTTTTTTCCCCCTTAAGTTTTTCCATCCATCTCTCTTAGAACTTTGTAATAATATTAATCCTGCTATCAGCTTGCATTTCCTTACTTAGTATTCTGAGGGATTTTGAAAGCCTCGTCTCTGCTGCTTATCTGAGGTCAACAGGTAGATGTCTGAATTTTAAACACATCCCGAGCATAAAATCTCTGCTGATTTTATGTCTTGAGGAATGATGTCTCTAGAGGAATTCTTTCTCCAGAGTATACATAAAATGTGTGCTCTCCTAAGAGAGTGCTACAACTGAAATGCTGCAAACAGTGAGTCTATCAAAGGACAGAAGCAGCCAGTGGAGTTGGCAGATGTAAAGCTAACCATTTTCTCTTATGGATGGGTCACTTTACTGTCAATGATTCTGGGAAGGAAATTAGAAATACAAAGTTAGCTTATGCTGCAGTCTGTCATTGATGAACACTCTGATTTTCTTTTTTTTCCTTTTACAGTTTTTAAAGAATAATTTATTTTTGTTATTGTTGTTGAAAATACACATAATAAAACATACACCAATTCAACAACAAAAGAAGGAGAGTCCGAAATAGGAAGAGGAAATGGAATGCATGGTTAATAACTGCCTCCTTTGCCGTATGACCAGAAGAACTAGATGGTGCCCAGCTGCCATTACTGAAAGATTTGATCAAAGATTCTCTAGAAGAATCTTTGATCAAAGGGGCATAAAATGCAGAGCAGAATTTAAAATCTTGTTGGAATCCAGAGTTTCTGGAGCCTTTAAGGCTGGATGAACCCTTGAACTACTGCCCTGAGATAATCTTTAAACCTTAAACAAAAAAAATCTCCCCTGAAGTCTTCTTTTAAACCAGATAGTGTTGTTGTTGTTGTTGTTGTTAGGTGCCTTTGAGTTGTCTCTGACTCGCAGCGACCTCATGTACAGCAGAACGAAACACTGCTTGGTCCTATGCCAGCCCCATGATCCTTGCTGTATCTGAGCCCATCGTTGCAGCCACTGTGTCAATCCATCTCATTGAGGGCCTTCCCCTTTTTGGTTGTCCCTCCAGTTTGCCAAGCATGACATCCTTCTCCAGGGAATGGTCCCTTCTGACAACATGACCAAAATAGGTAAGACGAAGTCTGGCCATTCTTGCTTCCAAGGAGCATTCTGGCTGCACTTCCTCCAGGACAGATCTGTTAGTTCTTTTAGCAGTCCATGTGCTTTCAGCATTCTTCGCCAGCACCACAATTCAGAAGCATCAAAACCAAACAATAGTTTAGCTTAATTAGTAAAGAAACTTCTTACCTATATGGACTCAAATTGACAGCACTAACTCGAAAGTTTACATAGGAGGCATGAGGGTGGTGAGTTATGTTAACAGTGAATTTGGAACAGGAGGGAAGGAACGGTTGTACAACTTGAATGTAGCCAGTGCCACTGAATTGTACGTGTAGAACTTGTTGAATTGGTGTATGTTTCGAATCCCCTGATTTTGAAAAACAAGCATCAGGAAATTCTCAGTGCAAGAATTGAGAAATATTTCTCTGACCAATGGTGTCAAATCATAAGGCCTCTTCCTTGGACTGTTTCATCAAAGACACCTTTGCATTGGACATATTGCTATACTGTAAATTAAAATTTAGTTCTCCGTGGCCCTAGGGAGTAGCCATAGTGCATTGCTTCATATATTTCTCACACAGACTTGAAATTGTCCCAAATTATTGCACGATTTCATGCACAATCCCTAAGACATTTCTGCCCAGAGAATGAAGTTTGGCCTGTCCTCCACTTCATTTCCTTCCCACCTTCTGGTGGCTTAGAGGTCTTGTGAGCGTCCATGCTTCACCACCTGTATGGTCAGAGATTAGTGTAGGCATGATGGTGATGATATCACAACATGATGAACGTCGGGACATGGTGAACCCAGCTTTGCTGGAACCCCAGCTTAACAGCACCACCCTCAGAAAAACTTTAATATGGAGAAGAACAATGAGGTCCCCTCAAGGGACAATGATGTTAACCAAAGTATTGATAGCCAGGCATTGTGAAATGTAAGAGGGATTGAGTAGGGAAAGTGTCTGGAAGCATTCCAGTGTTGCAGAGAGAGGAGGATTTCTTGCCTTTGAATAGTGCTTGCTTTTTTGCTTCCCCCAAGACATTTTTATGCATATTGCCAACTCTGAATTTGAAGACTTCCATGCCGTTTCTGGAAGGAACATGCACCCGTGCGTGCGCTCTTGCACACACACCCTGCTCCCCTTTGAATCTGTCTCTGACCTGATCTCTAGGGACGAATTCCTTAAATTCATGAGTGCTTTCAGATATTGCTCAGAAAGCAGGCCAGTATCATTTGTTTTTTAAGTAAAAAATGTAATCATATGCCTTTGCTCCTCAGGTTCATTGAAGGAAACAAAATTGAAACCATTTCCAGAAATGCCTTCCGTGGCCTCCGTGACCTCACTCACCTGTAAGTCCTACAAAGAGTGGGGAAGCCCTTTAATGCAAGGAGTAAGAGTCACCTCCTGCTGTTCTTCTCTTCGTTGGCTGTTGTTTCATATTGTAACATTCTCAGGAGGAAATAGATTCCCACGTGACCAGAGAGGGTTTTTTTTTTTTTTAGTTTGCTTGCTCACACCCTTAACTTTCTTCTCATCTCTGTCATCCTGAGACACTGACCACATGACATTGTGAAGTTAGGAGATTCTGAATTGTGAGGGATCTGTGTCCGCTGATGGAGTTCCTGGTTGGTACAAACAGTTAACACACCCTGCTTCTAACCGAAAGGTTGTAGGCTTGAGTCCACCCGTAGACACTTCAGAAGGAAGGCCTGTTAATCTACTTCTGAAAAAAATTAGCCCTTGAGAGAAGTTCTGCTCTGACACACATGGGTCACCATGAGTTGCAGTCAACTTGATGGCAACTTTTCTTTCATTGTCACTTGATGGAAAAACTGGGAAGGAAACTAGCATGTGTTGTGCACCTACTGGGCGCCAGGCTGAGTGCTTAGTGTGCCTTCTCCTCTTTATCTTTCACAGTAATCTGTGAGCCCCCATTTACATATTTGGGAACTGACACTTAATGACTCATTGATGAATGTCCAATGTATTATCACAAAATAGAATAGAGACATTTTCATGGATCTTCTAATTTGAATACAAATAACTTTCTTTGATGTTGGATTAATCTGCAGCTTAAGCTAAGCTCTCTGGGTTCTTTGATAGCTTACTGGAGAAAAAAATTTAAACAAATTGAATTGAGTTGACATATCAGAAGGAAGCAAGAACACACACTTAGCACATTTGTAAACCTGGAAAAATTAGTAGCTGTGTTTATGAACATGTAAAATAGTCATTGTCTAGATAAGAGTGATGTGTTACCCAGGAACCAGGTACCATTTGCATGATAGATATTTTGTATGTGAAGAAGATAATGTGGCTCATCTCCATAGTCAACATCATTGCAGTAAGAAGAAAATTGGGAAAATTGGAAGGCTTTGAATGGGGGTATTGGACAGGATGGTGGTACCTTCAGGGTGTGGAACGTTGACTGATGCAGCATGGATATATAATCCATCTCATGAGATGATCCTTCACCCCAGGCCCTGATACTGTGTCTGTGGATAGGTTGCATGAGCACTTCATTTTGAATTGCCAACAAGCAGAAGGTCTTCTTTGAGGTAAAGCTCATAGAAGAAGAAGATGAGGAAGAAGGGCAGTGGGGTCCCTCTTAGAGGCACCCAGATGCCTGTTGGTATCACTACTCCTGGTTTTCTTTTCTGCCTACAAAAACCTTCGTTTTCTTTGGATTCACCCTAGATGCCAAATCCCCACATTCCTGAACCGGCTAAGAACACGGGCGTGGAGTCATGTAGCTTTGAATTTAAATCTCAAGGCCATCACTTAATATTGCTTAGCCTTCATGAGGGTCAGTTTCCATTTTAAAATGAGGATGATTATACGTCTCTGGGTGGCTCATTCAGTTAAGCACTTGACTACTAGCCAGAAAGTTGGTGGTTTGAACCCACCCAGAGGCACCTCAGAAGGTAGTCCAGACGATCTGTCTGCTTCTGGGTCATGAAAACCTTATGCTACTTTGCACACATGGGTTGCCACGAATTGGAATTGACTCAGCAACAACTAATGATAACAACATACTGACCTCAGGATCTCTGTACAGAATGGACCCATGCTTGCTTCCAAAGCAACCAGCACATTATCTGTGGGAAATGCTCACAGTATGGGTGGTGGTGCTGTTGGCATTATCATTATCTTCAACACAGTTCCCTCCTTCTGCCCATTAAGAAATCGCGGTTTTCTTCTTGGACTGCTAGTAGCCTTGACAGTTTGGGTGGCCAGACAGCATCTGCTAAGAAGACAGCTGTGGGTATCTGAAGAGAACAGCTGTGGACAGATGAGTCTAGTTCCCAGAAGTCAGGAAAAAAGGGTTTTGTTTCTGAGCAAAGGCTTTGGGCAGATTGTGAGCCTAAACCACGTCCATGTGACTGGTGGAGTTAGCTCAGATGACAGCTTCCATTTACCCCATTGTCCATGGTCTGTCTGAGGATGTATAAGATTGTTCATGTGTGTCTATGGGTGCATGGACTTACACACACGTGTATACGTACCTGTGTATTTGCACAGACAATCATATGTGTATCTTATGTGTGTACAAAGTACCTCCTTTTCTGTGTGACATGCAGAGGACACAAACACAGAGAGGATGAAGCTGTCCTCCGCTTAGGTCTAGAGTGCACACTGATGTGTTACAGGAGAACTGGGCCCGTCTGCGTGTGTATGACCCCCTGCAGTCAAACCTATGGCCCTCTTCTCCCCAGCCCTTCAGCCACATTTCCCTGCACCCCTCCACACACCAGGCTCTCAGGGCATGTGCACATCCAGCTTATTCCACGGTCATGCTTTTCCTAGCATCCTTTCCCGTTGCCTGGGATGCTCTTTCTTCTGCTCCTGGTCTCCTGGAATCTTCCCTGTCCTTCAGAGTCCAGATGAATTCCGTGTCTGCAATGCAACCATTCCTTATCCTCCTCCTTACCCTTCTGGGAGCCCTCACTGTCACACACCACCCATTACTGCAGACACAGGCAACACAGGTTGGTGCTGTTCTGTTCCTTGGGTATTAGTTTCATCTCCCCAGCAGGGTCGAACGCAGGGCCCATGCAGCGCCTCTGTCCAGAGCCCTTGGCAGCTCTGCAGTTTCCCAATTTCCATCTCAGGACTAAGCCAGCAGGAGGTGCTTTCTGATTCACTGATTGATCGATGGAATCGCTTATTGAGCTGGGCTTTTCCACGTGTGCTTTACTTCTGGGCAAGTCAGGTGACTTTTAAAGCTGACTCCTCCAGGAGTCATATAATTATATAATTACATATGATAATTACTGTATTTAGTACTTCAAGCATTGAATGTATTTAAAGGATGAACTGATTTCCCTCTGCTCCCCACCCACTTTTTTTTTTTCAAATCTCTAAGGAAAGAGAAGAAGGCAGTGGTGGTTCAGTGGTGGAGTTCTCGCTTTCCGTGGGGGAGCTTGGGTTTGATTCCCGGCCAGTGCCCCTCACGCACAGCTGCTGCCTTTCTGTCAGTGGAGGCTGTGTGTTGCTGCGATGCTCAACAGGTTTCAGTGGGGCTTCCAGACTAGGACAGACTAGGAAGAAAGGCCTGGCAATCTGCTTCTGAAAATCAGACAACAAAAGCCTGTGGGTGACAACTGTCTGAATTGCAGCTGATTATGGGGATGGTGTAGAAGCAGGGGACATTTTGTACATAGGGTCGCCAGTGGTCAGGGTGGGGCTTGACAGCAGTGAACAAGGAAGGAGAGGCCGTCAGCTCCCAAAGCTCCCCTGTGTGCTTAGGAAGTCACTCTCTGGAGCTTTAATTATCTGATTTGATCTTTCATAACCTTTTCCAACACCTACAGGCTCGCTTTCATATGGAAAGAAGCAAAGGTCAGATTTCAAAGCAGGGGGCAGCACCAATCTGTAACTAAAATCTAGGATGTTGTTGTCCAGCAGCCAATAAAGCCCAAGGGACAGGGAGCTGCTAAGGTGTTTCAGAAATGAAGTAAGTGCCATTTGTACTTACTTGGATTTGTAGACAAAATGAAGTGGAAAGCTGAGATGTTACTCACTGAGCGTGAGTGGGATGGACAATCCATCTTAATAATGCTGCTTTCTGAAATCTAAATTGAGCACTTGGAATGGTTGCTAAACACTTTTTTTTTTTAGCTTTGATCATCTTATATATTCTTACCACTTTGATACAATAAAATCTGAATTAGCTGAAAATTTTTTTGTACTTTATTTTCTAGAAAAAGTGACCATCAACCAGAAAAGAAATCAAAACCAATACCCATCCTTTTTCATTTCAAAAAGCAACTTCCAGAGTAGGTGCCAATTGATTCTAGAGTCAGCCTATTTTCCAAAACCTTTAGACACCAAATGTAAAAATAAATCATTTAGGAAAGAAAGGTAAAATAATACATGAAATTGCATTGTAATTAACAGCACACAAGGACAGATACGAGGGGTGCAATTCAGATACTTTGGGTCTCTCCATGTGAGAGAGGATGTGGCTCAGTGGTGGAATTCTTGCCTTGCATGTGGGATACCTGGGTTTGATCCCAGCCTGTGCACAGCCCCATACCTCTGTTGGTTCATCCTGCATGTTGCCAGGATGCTGAACAGGTTTCAGCAGAGCTTCCAGATGAAGATGGTCGAGGAGGAAAGGGCTGGTGATCTACTTCTGAAAATCAGTCCGTGAAAACCCTGTGAATCACAGAAGTCTGGTCCACAAGTGATCATGGGTATGATGCAAAACCAGGCAGTGTTTCTTGGTTCTAGTGTGCATGGGGTCACCATGAGCCAGGTGCTGGCTTGGAAATGGCTATCATGAAGCTGGAATGTTTGGATGAACTCTGGGCTCAGAGATTTCCAATGTGCGAAGCTAGCCAGGTGTAAGGGTCATTATGATGCTCCAACAAACCAGTGTCATGTGTATTTTAAAGAGAGTGGTGCTGAACTGCCTGTCTGTTTATCGTTGGTGTTCTTTACTGTTTGCTCTCACGTGGGTAAAACAAAAAAGAATAGGCATCCGTTTCCTGGCTGACTCATACTCAAGCATGGTGCCTGTGGGAAATCACAGACTCATTGGCCTTCCTTTCAACACCCAGCATCTTTCCGCATCAACAGCTCTGCACAACTGCCACTCACCTTCAGCGGGATTAGGATGGGGCACCGCAGAGCCCTGAATCATCGCAGGATGATTTGCTGGTGTTCATCCTGGTCTGCTTACTGGGGGTGAAGTAGGACGTTGGAGAAAGATCTGCAACAAAAAGGAAAAGTGCAGAATGATTGCTGGTCAGCCGTCTTTAATGGGAAAATGAAATTGATCCCCAGAAATCATTCCCTAAGCATTCCGGTTAATTCAGATCTGATTATGTTGTCATTAAGTGTT